GGGGGGGGGGGGGGGGGGCTTCCCGGTCACCCATGAATTATCAGACCAAATAATTCCAAAATTGAACATGTCATGATTGATGTTATAAACATACACTTAAGGGCTGCAGATATATATTGCAATGGTGGTTTCAATTGATGCATTTCAAGGTATTATAAGGGTTAGTTTCTTAGATGTATTATGCTTGTAGTATGACTGCTTCCATTTCCGGAGGGCGCGCAAAATATAATTCCCGATAACTACCCTAAATGATTTTTTTTTCATAACACAACTGCGTTTGGTGCGGAATATGTTCTTTTCTTTTTCGGAAAATTAAATCCTCTCAATTAAATATGGTGTAATAAATATTTGGTTTAAAGGTGGTTGAGACATCAGAACATCAATATAGTTCTATGTGTCAATTGACGTAGCCTTGGGGGAAAGGTTAGAGCAAAAATTGGGAGTTTGAAATGTGCGTTTTTTTAAAGGTCATGTTTTGTCAAATAACGTTAGTAGATATGGATATTCTTTCTGACAAATGTCTCTCGATAAACACATATCTCACATTTGTCGTTCAGCATACACCAATATCCGTCACATAAGTTCCATACGCCACTACCTCACAGTTAGCGCTACAAAAAAACTCTAGTGTGTGCTCTTGTTCTCTCTCGTCTTGACTACTGCAACACTCTTCTGTCAGGTTCACCAAAACACTGCATAGAAAAACTGCAGAATGTTCAAAACTCAGCTGCTAGGCTAGTTTTAAAGGCAAAAAAACGTGATCACGTCACTCCACTACTCTATTCCCTTCATTGGCTACCTATACAAGCACGCATTGACTACAAGTTGTCTGTTCTCTGTCACAACTTTTTCTTGGATTCCTGCCCTTCCTATCAAACCGAACTTCCTTCTGTCTATTCACCCCTTCGACAGCTTCGCTCCTCTGCAGACACCCATATTCTGTCCGTTCCCAAGACACACACTAAAACATATGGTGAACGATCTTTCTCTTTCTGCGCCCCCAAACAATGGAATTCTTTGCCACTACACATACGCAATATACCAACCACCCAGGCCTTCAAAACTGCACTCAAAACATATCTTTTTAAATTATACTATCCTGA